TAGAAAGAGAATCTTTCCGTCTAAGCCCGGCTTAAACAAAATATACAGGTGGAGCCTACTTTTGGAAGGGGTTACCCTCCTTCCGAAGGTCCTTCAGTGTTGGAGCAAGACGATCTCAAGACCACCTTAACCCTTTTATTATATAATTAATTACATAATAAACTTGAAGGCCACAAACAGCAGGGAATAGTGATATTTCTGTGGGGATAATGGCCAGAATGTCATTCTGGAACTTTCTTCTCGGAATTATGTACCTAGTTGGCAGCACAATGATGGTAAACATAAAGAGAGAATCAGAGACGGAGGATAGAAAGAGAATTTATTCCAGGTATGGCATTTCTCCGAGGCAATATTTTCTATTTTATTTTACAAGAAAATTAAATTATTGTGTTATAAATTGAATAATGCATATCTTCTGACCCTCATTAGTAGTATAAAATGCTATGTGTTAGGATGCTAGCAATTCACCAGATTTTTGAAAATTAATGAAGGAGCACTAGCAAATGAAATCTAAATGCTTAAATATAATATTAAAGAAGGGAGGTTTTTGGTTTTGTTTTCTTTTTTACTAAAAATTACACCGATAAGGAGCATTGTTTGACAAAGCTTAGACTCAACAAGGGAAAGATGAAGTCACCTGGTTTGGAGGACATGTGATCGGTAGGAATAAGGCCCGCCCTATATCCGCCCTTCTTTTCCTGCTTACACAGCATCTGGCTCTCATAATGGGTGATGGGGGCTCCAGGACCAGCATCTACTGGGGACTCTCATAAATCATTGAGGTTCTCCAACAAAAAAACTGTATCAGTGATCTATTGTTGCATAACAAATTACTTTAAATTTAGCAACTAAAAACAGCACTCATTAAATTATCTACTCCATGGACCAAATGTAAAATATTTATAAATGAAGATGCATCTTAAATGTCTATAAATGGTGGCATAACTAAAGCATAGATGTTATAAGTATTTAAGAATTCAGCGGAAACATAATAAAGCTTCTATGATCTACAAAAAACCCCCAGCACCCATGTATTATGTCAAGGCTTCTGCCAGTCAGAAGTGTGGGCACCTGAGAGCTGAGAAGGCTGCAGTTCTCATCTGAGGCCTGGGGCCTCCTTCAAGTCCCAGTCAGGTTGTTGGCAGAATTCCAGTTGTAGGACTGAGGTGCCCATTTTCTTGCTTGCTGTTGGCTGGGGGTCACTCTCAGCTCCTAGATGCCACCCGCAGTTCCTTGCCATGTGGTCTCCACAGGCAGTTCCTGGCGAGGATGTCTGCTTCCAGGACAGCAGGCGTGTCTGTCTCTGACTTCCTGAGGGGCTCAGTCCTTTTGAAGGATTCACATGATCCAGTCCAGCCCAGCAGGATAATCTCCCTTTGGATTAACTCGAAGACAAGTAATTAGAAACCTAATCACAGGAGTGTTAGCCCATCATATTCACAGGTTCTGCCCACACCAAGGGGAGGAGATTACACAAATTGTGTACACCACGGGGGGGCAATCTTGGGGGCCATCTCAGAATTCTGCTACCACAACAACGTTGCCACAGCTGTCTCCAGGGAGGGGCAGGACAGATGGTCCGAGACAGACTGACCCCTCCTCTCCCTCCAGCCTCCAGATGCCCTGTCTCTGGGCCTCCAATGTTCTCCTCACCAAATGACCACTATCTTAAGAGTCTGAGCTTTATTGCTATCCTCCATTCTGTGAAAAATATTGAGGCATTAAAGCACTAAGTGAGACCTTTCTCTTGGGAGACTTCTCTTACTTGCCTCTTCTTGAAAAAGCTTTTTTGGTGTGTAACCATAATGCATGCCAATGAGACAAAAGTCCAAACAGTTTGAAAAAGTACATAGCGAAAAATAACTCCCTGCCTCCACCTTCTGCCCTCTCTCTTCCAAATTCTTTTCCTGAGATTAACCAATGTTATCTGTTCCATGTCTCAGATCTCTTTGCAGGTAGTACATGCATTTACAGACATGTTTATTCCACAAACGGTAGGACTTTTGTTCTGCGCTTTGGTTTTTTCTTGAGTGGTGCATCCGACAGATCTTTCCACATAGATCTAAATTGTTTTAACTGCAGTCACTTGACTCCAGGCCTAGGGAGGAAGAGAAGTCCTCACTAACTTTTCTTCATTCCCATCCCAACACTTTGGGTTTCCTCCTGTCTCCCATTTAGGAGACTTTTATGGAAAAAGAGCTAAGAGAGATGTCACAGGGGATTCTGAATGTTTTCACAGGTCGACAGCATCAGCGGTGATGGGGTACCCCTGGGCTGAATGACTCGGAATCTGAGCATCTGTGCTGGACAATATGGAGATTTAGATGAGCAGGCATCCAAGGGGTTCGGAGCACATTCAGCAGAAGGCGAACATTCTGTAACCCCATCACCAGCGAGCAACACAAACAAGCAACACTTTTTCATTTTTTTCTATACTGTTTAATCATATTACCACAAATTAGCATCCTCTGTTTTTGATTTTAAGTGAAATATAATAGGCTTTCAGGTACATCAGTTTAATTATTTTTAAGATTCTTAGCACGGACAAATATTTTTATAGTTCCAAACAACCAAGTAACTGAATGAGGAATCGTGTTGTGACCCATGTCACGGGGGTGGGGGTTGGCGATAGTAAGGGGAACAGTTACTGAAGGGACTTCACCAATTGAGTATGAGAGCTGAGACAAAATTTTACTTTATTTTTTAACATTAATACAATTTGGAAATTTCAAATTGTTCAAAGCTAGATGACAATATATTGGGTTGTCAGCATTTACATTATTTTTAAATTAAGTGATTCATCACTGATAGTTCAAACGGTAAATCCCTCTTTTTTTGTATCAACAATATACACACCTAGAGTTTTCTTCTGTTTTGCTTTGATAAACAATTCTACCCTGACTTTTGGGATACCATTTCTCTGAATGGTTCCTTTTAATCTCTTCCTAAATTAGCAGTTTAGGAATAGTACTTAAACCTTCCAGAAAGCACTTAGCTTACGTCTGCATCCCCAACAACAGTGACAGCCTTTGGCTATATCAAGTGAAGTTAACCCAGTTTAAAAGCCACCCAACACCTTTGTTAAATTCACAGGAAGGGAGTTTGCTTTAAGAGACATTAGCAGCCCAGGAGCAGTTCTGAGCACAAGAGAATGTTTTTGCCACTTCCAGATCAAAGAATGGGTTTGTCAAAAAGACACAAGCACACTGAAACCAAAAATAAAAATAAAATAAAATAAAATTGTTTTCTTCCTTTTCGAAAAGGAAATCTGCAAATAAAAGAGCCTCAAAAGTGATTTCCAGCAGGCGTGTTCTCAGCAGCAGCCTGGTGATGGTAGTACATACTGGAAGCTTTCCTTCCACAGCCTGGTGTTATTTTGGATGAAGTGTTTTCACACAGCCTTTTAGCAATTCGCTTGTTTTTAGAAAAATCATAGCCTGAGGTGAGAATATCTGTATAACTCCTTCCTGTAATCTCTAGTACACTAGTCCTAGTGTGTTCCTTCAACATTATCAAAGAATGATGCTCATGTCTTTCTATAAATGAAACCATTACTTCGTTTGCTTAAATTTTGACGTTGAATAACAAGGTGGTGTTAGTGCCATAGAGTTGATTCTGACTCCTGGCGACCCTGTGGACAGCAGAGCGGAACCCTGCCGGGTCTTTCTGCGCCATCGTCTCCCCTTCCAGCACTGTATCAGACAACGCTCCGCTGCTATTCACAGGGTTTTCATGGCCAATTTTTTTCAGAAGTGGGTGGCCAGGTCCTTCTTCCTAGTCTGTCTTAATCTGGAAGCTCCACTGAAACCTGTCCACCATGTGTGGCCCTGCTGGTATTTGAAACATGGGTGGCAGCGTTCAGCATCACAGCAACACGCAGCCACCATAGCGTGACAACCAGCAGCCGGGTGGTGTGGTTTCCTGAGCAGGAAAGGAACCTGGGCGGCGGGGGTGAGAGCCCCAGATCTTAACCACTAGACCACCACGGCTGGGTTAAATAACAAGAAAACAAGTAAAAGCTGTAGTAAAATTGTAAAATAAACTCTGCATTTAAAAATGTTTTTGGCAGTTTTATACAAACAGAAACAGAGATTACTTTGCCTAGTTTAGGTATTAGTGATTTAAAATTGCTTCTTTTTAAAATATCCCCAGTGGATCCTGAGGAAACTCAGAAAATTGAAATTACAGACAGAAATGACCAAATTTCTTTTTGGTTCTGGCCCTATCCAAACTTTTAGAAGTTTTCCGGGCCTTTTGTCAGTTTTCACCAAGTCAAGGTGATCAAGGTTGCCAATGTCTGTGCCTCAGTTACTACTTTGAGGGGAAACAAATGGAGCAGGCAACGTAGCCACTGCCAGAGTCCCCTCAAGCCTCAAGGAACAGAAACTTTTCAACTGTGCGCTCTTGGCTATTTCTCAACGTCCACAAACCATTTTCCGTTTTAGGACCCTTCACTTGTAACCAATTGTCAGTCAGAGGGAGAAAATCACTATTGATATTGGATTCTGATTGACACTGAAGACATTCAAAATCTCGTTTGGGTCATTAGGAAGCCATCTTGAGGGAAACAGAAAAACGGAGTAATCTTCAGCAGCATGAATTTTAGCAATTGTTGTATTTTCTCTATTAGTGTTATTAACAACACCTAAATAGTCCTTGGCAGTTTATAAAGCATTTTCACATCTTAATTTTAAAAGTTAGAAATGAGAAACTCCACTTTGGGTAGTATTATTGTATGAGTTTGTTGGTATTGTCAAATTCCATTTCTTATCTTCCACCCACTCTAACGTTCTTCAGCTGAAAGAAGGTAACACTGGCTGTGTCTTATTTCAGAGAAGAAGCTATAAATGTTGATTAACGAATGAAATTGCAGCTTTACGGGAATCTGCCTCACTTGTAGGTGCACCTTTCTTGCTTCCTTCCTCATGTTTACGGTTCTTGATTATAGCTCAGTCGGAGAGTTCAAAACTTGACCCCTCCCCAGAACTTCTTTATCAGATGGCGAGGCAGCAAGCCGTTGATGTCATTTTATTGCCAGGGAAACTTACTCATAAATAAGCCCTCTGCTGAAGTCAAAGGCAGAACCCAGACAAAGGAGCGGCTCCCATCCGACGACGTTTACCAGAACTGGCGGGCCGTTTCCCAAGCGCTGAAGTAGGCGGGCCAGTATGACCTCAGTCAATGCCAGCTTTGTCCCCCCTCCGCCATTCTCAATCCTCTTTGTCTTTACTCTCCCTCCTGCCCTCTTTGGGCTCTCTCCACCCTCAGTTCATTCCAAACCTTCTTCCTGAGGCAGAAAAACAGTGTCGCCTTATTCATGCTAAGCTGTAAAGGACTCCTGGGAGGGCGAAGTTTCCCACTGCACCTAGTACCAGCCTTCACTTGTGGACCCCCAAACCCCGGGTGTCGAGTGAGGAAGCCCCCCAGGTGGACCGGGAGGGAGAGGAAGCGCACGGGCTGCTGGGTGTCAGGTGGGGGCATCCTGGGCAGCGGCAGGCTGATTTGGAGCTCTGGAGCAAGTTCAAATCCTGCCTCTGCCCTTGCTCGCCGCAACCCTTACCCACCCTCTGGGCCTCAGTTTACTCATCTGTAAGGGAGACCTACTCTCCTGGCCGCGAGGATGAGATGAGATGACGCGTGCCCTGCACCTGGCTTGCTTGGTAGGTTGGTTCAGTTTCCTGCCTCCTCCCACCCGCGTCCCAGGCCAACACTTGGGGCGGAGGGGAGTGGGGTTCGCGCTTAATGCTGAAGCGACTCCATTCACTTTTCAAACTCTAGCTGGTAAGTCACGCCCTCTCGGGAACAGCCTCCTGTTTGCGGAGGCTTGGCCTCCGCTGTCACTGCGCAGCATCACACGGGCCGGGAGCGCGGAGGGCGGTCCGGGGCCGGGCCTCCGGGGCGTGGGCGCGGCGGCCCGCGGAGGAGACAGGCGGGCGGAGTCCGGCGGGCGCGCAGTCCCCGGCGGTGAGGGCTCCCGGGAGGCGAGCTTGGCAGCGCGGGGAGGACACAGCGCGCATCGGGCCCCGCAACCCTGCTCGGCGCGTCCCCATCGCGCCCACCCGCGTCCCGGTGGCTGCGGCCGGTCCAGGCGCCCCCGCGGAGTCGGTGCGGACGTGGGGCGCGTGCGGTGGCCATCCCCCACGAGGCTCCGCCAGCTCGCCTCCATTAGCGACGTGCAAAGCGGTTCTGGGAAGTTCACGGACTCGGGGACCCAGGTACCTGCGGACAGGGTGGGGGGTGAAGTGGGGACTGTCTGTTCTGTGTGTCGCCCAAGGGGGAAGCTCCGTCAGTGAGCGTCTCGGATTTTCTGGGAAGAGTCGTCGCCCGCTGCTCCTGCCGGCGGGACCACCGCGTGGGCGCCCCAACAATGATAGAGTGATAGAGGGCGAGATCCCAGCTTTGCAAAATACAGAAATATTTATCAACGGTGGGGGAAGCGCCTAAGAGAAATAGTGGAGACGGGGCGTGTTTTCTTTGTGCTTTTCTGTGCTTTCCCGGGCGTTTTCCTAATCGAAAAACAAGAATTCCGCTTAGAGGGCCGCCCAGCGGCCGAGTGGTTAAGTTCGCCTGCTCCGCTGCGGGCGGCCCAGTGTTTCGTTGGTTCGAATCCTGGGCCGGACATGGCACTGCTCATCAAACCACGCTGAGGCGGTATCCCACATGCCACAACTAGAAGGAGCCACAACTAAGAATATACAACTATGTCCCCGGGGCGGGGGGCGGGGGGCGGGGGGGGAGGGGGGCTTTGGAGAGAAAAAGGGGAAAAAAAAAAAGAGAATTCCACTTAGGAGGTGTCGCTCACAGCCTGCCTCGCCATCCTCAACGCCCTTCACCCTCGCTGCCCGAACACCTGTTGGGGACCGGGTTCCCTGGAGCGTGGTGTTCCTCTTCTGCAGAGGGTGCCCCTGGACCTGCCTGGCTTGCTTGAGGCTGGTTCATTAGGAAAATACAGTCATCTGTTGTTTTCTGGGACTTTATGCAGTTTTCAGATTGAAAGGAGCGATTTCCCAAATCCTCTGGAAGCCGGAATCCACGCTGACCCTCACGGCGGATGTCTGCAGCCACCCAGCAGCTGGGCTTTGCGGGCCTGATTGGGTACCGGTCGGTCTGGCACCGCGTCTGAGAACAATTGGGCTTTCCTAAGGGTTTCCTCCGGCTGTTTTGGTTCTCACCGCTCCTGCTGCGACACCTGTTACTTTGGTAAGTATCGATGCTTCTGAACAGCAGCGGTCACAGATGTCTTCACAGTCCCGCAGGGAGATGAGTGGTGACAGGGTCAGGCAGGAGGACAACTGCGTCTTCTGCTGTGCTTTTTTCTTTTCCCCTCCCCTTAGCTCAGTGCTGGGTGTTGGTCAGGGAAGAGAGCCTTTGATAAAATAGGAAACTTCCACTTGGAACAGGGCAAAGACATACTCTCTCGGGAGTATCAGTAGGGTGGGGGGCTGAGGAGAAATGAAAGTAAAAATTTTAGAGGGATGCCTCCCTTAACACATCACCCAGAGCAAACTTCATTGTTACACAATGGAGCTTGTGTTAAAAAACAAATTGAAAGCATGTGAAACCTGTTGGCATGCATGATGACCCAGGGGCACCAAGCTTGCTGTTGAAGTGCTTGGACACCTGTCCCCTTGTAGCAAAAATCTCTCTTTTTGTTCATGACAACTGAAGGCCAAACAGCCTTCTGCAGGGGGAGGGTAGTATGTCTCTTCACTGGCTCTGCAGGGCCTTGGGAGGAGTGGCTGGTGTGTGTATGGCAGGAGTGGGGGATGGGAGTGTGAGCCGGGGTGGAGATGATGTTTTTGCACCTAACACCTCTGCACACTTCCACCCTTCCTTCCTTTGAGAGGAGTCAGAAGCCGACCGCAGAGTTGAGTGCTTCTCTTCCGGGTCTGAGGTCCCGGCTTAGTGTGTCCTTCTCGGGTCCAGCACAGGAGGGGTTAACTCCTCTTCTGCCCCTGGAGAGCGGAGCGCCCAGGCCATCTGTGTTAGCTTTCTGTGATAAAGGTCCTGCTAGCAGAGCTCGTTTTCATTTCTGTATTTCTTTATCTGTTTATTGTGGTTCGTTTGTTAACACAGATATTCCTGCATGTCAGACATCATCACAGTGTTTTCCAACTTTCTGATGTCAGATATCACAGTTTACCACTTTAAAGATACTTGGCTAATATCCAACTCCATTAATTGCATAAAAATAAGATGGTTTGTGATTTTGTAGAGAAAATATTTGTTAAATGTTTGAAGAGATCTTACGTGCACGTGGTGTAAAATCCCAAAGGCACAGTTGCAGTGAAGTCCCCTCCCGTTTCCCGGTCATTGGTGGCCGCTGTTGCCAAAAGGTAGGCTCATTGGTCTTCTGTTTCTTTGATAACTTGTACAAACAGATTTGAAAAAGCTGCTTTTGAGCATTTGCATGCTAGTAATTAAAAAAAATTTTTTAGTTTATTACTTTAGTTTTCTGTTAGTTTACGTCTTTTCTGTTTTTCTGCTGACCTCTCAGAAATGTCATAGATTCAGGCCATTTTGTAGAGGGACCCTGCAGCCTTGGAAATGAATGAATAGATTAATTTCTAAGTTCCTTGTGTTCAGAGACCATGATTGACGCAACTTGGGAGCTCCCCAAACAACCCGCCACAGTTACTAGTGACTCCTAGGTCCACGCTAACATCCTACACCCAGGCTTAAGGATAACGGATGCTCTCGGTAACCTGGAGCTTCAGAGCCCCTTCCTCTTAGGAGGCAGCAGGAACAGTGTATTTCCCTCCCCAACACTAGATTCTAGTGGCTTGCTGGTTTTAACGCACCTCTGTGGCCCTGTTCTCCACAGGTTAACTGCTCTATTTTCTGAAGTAACTGGTAACAGGGAGCAGTGTTTGCAGTGGGTAAGAGAGGATACGTTTCTGTTCTGTTTGAATCCTGCCTTTGACACTGGCTTCGTGATCTGTGCTACTTAGCTGAACCCTCTGAGACTCAGCTCCCTCCTACGTGAAGGTGATTCGTAGGGTTGTTGTGAAGATTAAGGAAGACAGTCCGTGTAAGGGGCAGCACTGGCCTGGTGCAGGATGGCCCGTGGTGATGGTAGCCCATATCACTGTCAGGTTTGCAGTCTGTCATACTTTCACAAGACGGGCCACTGCACATGGCCGGTGACCTCATGGCCTAGGAAAAGATGACCTACAGGAAGAGGGGTTGATTTCTTGCCCTCATTACATGTCCTTTATGGCGCTGGGACCGAGGCTGAGCTGCTCATTTTGGGGACTGGCAATGTGGCAGAAGGAAAGAAGAAAGGCGAAACTATGCAGTGGCTTCTGAAGCTTCTGTTTGGAAATAAGCTTCCTTGTCACTTCCATTCGTGTTTCATTGACATGGCTGTCAACAGAGTGGGAAGTATCATCTTTCTAAAGGAGCAGAGCCGTCGGGGTAGGCCTGGTAGGGAGTGGCAGCAAATATTTGATAGGTACAGTCTCTCAGTGTTTGTCGGAGGGTCCCAGTTATGGACTGGAAGTCCATGAGACCCTGAGAGACGATGCACATCAAGACGCTCATAGCCACTCATTTATAAACCAGTGTGCTAAATTTTTTCCCTTGCAGTGGATGCTGTATCTGGGTACCAGCCACAAGAGCCTGTTTGAGGCAAACTTTTCATGGTGGCAGATTTGCTCAAAAGACTGAATCCTAAACTATTAAGTTATACAAAGAGCACAAAAACAAAATTGGGTGTTACCAAAAGACTATGTCCAGAACACATCACAGAACTGTGATTATCCAAAGTCCAAGAATGAATTAGAATGAAGGCAGTGTACCCTAAACGAGGCTGAGATCATGGACAGATTCTTGCTCTTCCTTTTAAAGCTCTTTACTTGTTAACAGCTAATTCTTTTCTTGTCACCCGCTAATTGCATCATCTAATGGTTTGTTATATTTTCTTTCATGCTGTCTGCTTCTTGAATAATGAGACTTTATTATCATCATTGAAGAATCTTCAAATCACAGTGTAGGATGGATTAACCAAGTCTACCCATTGTGTGTTTTCTTACTGTCTTCGGTTTCATAGTAATTTTTACCACCCTTTGGCCAGTGTTTTGAGGGTTCCTCTCACTTTTCTGCTTATAGCTGGATATCTCTTGTCTGCATAGGTAATGCAATATGATGCAATAATGTCCAAAAAGAATCTATTATGAAAGTAAATTTAAAATTAAGGATGTGTTTCCAAATCCATAAAAAAAGAAATTTTGCTTTGCTGTGTCGTTTGTTGAATAGTTGAATAAATTGAGAGTTTGATTTTTAGCAGCATAACTTTGCAAAATGGAAGGAAAGATTGTATCTCAAAAGTAAACATCAGCACACAAAGAAAAAGAAAGCATTTTTTAACCAGTTTACTTCTGACACCAGCATCTGTTATAGATGGCAGACAGAAAACCATGAAACTACAAATTAACTTCACTTACCACTACTGATCCCCAGGGGCTGGTCCGGTGGCCGAGTGGTTAAGTTCACGCACTCTGCTTCGGCCACCCAGGGTTCGAGGGTTGGGATCCTGGGTGTGGACCTACACACTGCCTATCAAGCTGTGCTGTGGCGGCATCACACAGAACTCGAACGACCCGCAACTAGGATATACACTATGTACTGGGGCTTTGGGGAGGGAAAAAAAGGGAAGATTGGCAACAGATGTTAGCTCAGGGCCAGTCTTCCTCACCAAAAAACATACCTTAAAAAAAGAAAAAGCTTAAAAAAAAGACTATGGGTCCCCAAACCCCAAATACAGTCTTTGAGGAATGCATGGGGACCCTCAGCATCGTTCTTTTGGTATAATTTCCCCACCACACTAGATTAAAGGAATTCTGTGCAGCTGTTCAAAAATGAAGTAGGTTTATATGTGTAGATGTGGGGAAAAATCACCTATTTGTAGTATTAATTGAAAAAATGCAAGATCTAGAACTAAATACAGTATTCCTATTTGTGTAAGAAATTGTTTTCTCTGTGTGTAGAAATGTATGCGTATGTGTGTGTGCACACGTGTAGTTATCTTGTATAAAGACAATTTCTGTAAGGATCAAAGCCACTGAAACAGAACATTCGCACTGAACCGCTGCGCCACCGGGCTGGTCCCTAAATCGTCACTGTTTTTAACCCTTTACCTACTAGAAATCTAAGCAAGGATATAAAGGATAATTGTTGTAATTAGTTGTTTACAACTTTTTCATTTTTTAATTTAATCAGGTTTCACAGTTCATAATACCTCTAGTTGTAAGTCAGTTAATAAACTGTAGGTTTTCTTTATGTGTATATCCTCTGTGGGCATTCATACCAAAGGAAGTCTTTATTCCTGATTTTAAAGTATAGCTGTCGTGTTTTCTCTGGGCCCAAATCACTCTATTTAAATGAGAAAGGCAGGGAAGTTTCTTTATGCTCCCCCCAGATCACTTGATTATCAACAACCATTCCTCGTTATTGTCTGGATTATATGTATGGTTTTATTGTCAAGCTAGAAATGAAAAATAGGTAGGCAAACATAATACACCGCTTCTCATGGGGCTTAGTATAAGGTTTCACATATCTACTAGTTAATGGAAAGTATTCTAGGTATGGTTTTCTTAAAGTTCAAATAACTCACCTATCAGAAGATTTTTGTCAAATTGTGAGGATCAAAGCCCTCAGGGCCTAGAGTGTGGGAGTAAACTAATGTGCAGGTGTGATTGCCGCAGGTGGGTCTGGTTCTCGGGCGCATCATGTCCAGTTTCGAAGACGCGGACACAGAAGAGACGCTAACCTGTCTCCAGATGACTGTTTACCATCCTGGCCAGCAGCCAAATGGAATATTCCAATCAATAGGGTTTCATAAGCGGGAGAAACTCCCCTCCAGGGAAGAGGTGAAATTTGGCCGAAGTTCCAAAGTCTGTAATTATACCTTTCAGGACAGACAGGTTTCCCGAGTTCAGTTTTCTCTGCAGCTGTTTAAAAAGTTTGATAGCTCAGTTCTCTCTTTTGAAATTAAAAATATGAGTAAGAGGACCAGTCTGATTGTGGACAACAGGACGCTGGACTTCCTGCATAAAGTGGACCTGCCCGACAGGTGCATGATCAGATTCGGAGACTATCAGATCCTGATGGAGAAGGAAGATGGAGTGTCGTTAGAATTTTTTGAGACGGAGTTTATTTTGTCTCCAAGATCACTCTTGCAAAAAAACTACTGGCCCCCACAGAATCCCATACCTGAGTATTGCCATTCTGTATGGTCTTCCTCCCAAAGCACTTCTCCTATGGAAACGGACGAAAATGAACTGTGAACACAGAGGGCTAAGAGGACAATCATGAAGGACGTAGAGCTCTGTAGACAACGCTTTCTAGACGCTCCGCTTACGAAGTGGTGTGCCGGTACTGATCGGTCCCCTTCGTTACTGTGGTATGTTATTGTTATCTGCTGTGCTGGCAAATTTGGGATCTGGTATTTTACTTTTGAAGTCTGTAAATTGTGTTAGTCATCGATTTGGTCTCCTGTTGCATTCCTGGATGTATGAAGAATTATTTTAAGGGTACAACTGTGAGGGTTATTGTACAAGAGATCTCCTTTGTGATGAAGGAAGAGTGTTCTCAGAGTAAGGTTATATTATTCTCACTTTATGCTTGACTTTAGTCCTATGCTTTAATTTTGTTTGTAAGGAACTCTCTCTTGGTTTGGTCATATTATTTCACAACGGTCATTTGTTTTCAAGGTCAAGACTACGGGCAAGTTGTTACTAGTGTTGTAGCCTGTTGGTACTTATAGTACCAGTGTCCTGGAACACAGCATAATGTTTTGGAGTATTGTACATGTGTCGTTGTGTTTTTAATATGGGACGATTTATTTGAGCAATAATACCTTGATTTTCTATGATTTTCTTTCTATAGAATTGTACTTATTCCCAAGAATACAGTTCTCTTTATGTATACACAGCATCTAAAACCAATAAACATTTGAATGTACCACTGTGTTTATGATCATCTTTCAGGTTTTTTACCAAGTTTTAAATTATTTGATTTTTATGTACAACAAATTTTTAAATTCCATGAATTCAAAGCTTTAACAGCATCCATGCACATCGTAAAGTTTCCTTCTGCAAACATTTCCCTTGAAACTCTTTCTGAAGAAAGGAGACTACTGTTCTTTTTCTTTTTTTAAATTTTTTTTTGAGGAAGATTAGCCCTGAGCTAACTGCTGCCAATCCTCCTCTTTTTGCTGAGGAAGACTGGCCTTGAGCTAACATCCGTGCCCATCTTCCTCTACTTTATATGTGGGACGCCTACCACAGCATGGCGTGCCAAGCAGTGCCATGTCCACACCCAGGATCCGAACCGGCGAACCCCGGGCTGCTGAAGTGGAACATGCACACTTAACTGCTGTGCCACCAGGCGGCCCCAGGAGAGAACTGTTCTTGGACTGCTTTACGGGAGGCATGCGGCAGGCCTCAGGCAGAGGCCATGCTGGGGGCTGTCACACCTCCAGCTCTGCCCCCCAGTGCATACCGGCTCCATTCTCCATTTGTTCCTCACTCCCCATGGTGGCACACGGCCACCAGTGGCTCCCAGGTTTTGCACGTTATTCATCAGCCACCGAAAGAGCATGATCTCCCAGTTCCAGTTCCAGCGAAGGGGCAGCTTCGGTCAGGTGCCCACCCCTCTACCAATCAACTCTCCTCAGGTTAGGTTAAGTAATGGCTGCTCCAGGCAGTGACCACATGGATAGGAAAAGCATTTTCTGTAAAACTGGCCACAGTGGATGGGGGTGGAGGCAAACAAAAGTATTAGTGTTTGATATGGGGTCCTGTTAGCTAAGTTGTGAAACTCAGTACACCCCTTAAGGACTCATTTGTCCCAGGAAATTGATTTTTCTTGGGCTCTTTAAGTAGAGGGGCGTATTAATTGGTGCCAGTGTTAGTCATAGGCAGTCTTCTAGAACCTGCAACTTTATGACAAGGTGGTGCTTTTCAATGGTGAAATCTCATATATCATGATTATATAAGCGTATTCTAGAAGATTCTGTCTCTACTATCTAATGCACGGACTGACTTGAAGCAGCATTACCTTTAGGCTCTAACATGCATGGTCACGTTTGTTTCAATATATCTTGTAGAAAAATTAGCTCTAATCTTGCTACCAGGAGCTAACAATTGTTAACAGCATGTGTATGTGTGTGTGTTGATGTAGTAGCTGCTTCCATGTTATCTTATGGCCCTGTCTGCTTTTTTAGTTCTCTAAAAGGGGTTTAATTCCTTATGGTAATTATCTGTTAAACTATCAGGTGTGGGGGCCAGCCTCGTGGTGCAGTGGTTAAGTTCGCACGTTCCGATTCTTGGCGGCCCAGGGTTCCCCGGTTCGGATCCGGATGCGGACATGGCACCTCTTGGCAAAAGCCATGCTGTGGTAGGCGTCCCACGTGTAAACGTAGAGGAAGATGGGCATGGATGTTAGCTCAGGGCCAGTCTTCCTCAGCAAAAAGAGGAGGATTGGCAGCAGATGTTAGCTCAGGGCTAATCTTCCTCAAAATAAATAAATAAATAAATAAATAAAAATAAAATATCAGGTGTGGTTACTAGTTTACTAACTGGACCCTGACTGAAACAATCAGAGCTTCTATTTCAGGTGGTGATCAAGGATGAGCACTATGAAAAGTGCAATGGAATGTGCTGGGCTGCTAGTTGGTACTAATGGTGCCCAAGGGCATCATCACTCATCATTCCACTATTCAGCCTTCGTGAAAATATTTATCTGTCCTTGTATCTCTTAAGCAATGAATTCAGGGCCAGGGACCCTGGTGAAAAAAATGGGAAAGCAGTGATTTCTGCTCTGTTGCTGGTGTCAACATTTGTTGCTAAAACAGAAAACTTCTGAGGTTAGACAGTCAAGATAAGGTGAAACAGTGGAACTTCACCTTTGGTCAAAGTGCCTTTTTATAATATCATTTTTGATATCATAAAACAACTTTTCAATCATCCGAAGTTAGTTTAGCCAGATTTTTTCTAACAGCTAAGCAAAAAACCCCTAAACCTCAAGAAACCCTCAAAAATAATACTGATCTAATTCCTATAGACAGGAAGCATGTGTAGTGTCGAGTGTGGGCTCTGAACCCCCTGCCTGGGTTTCTCTACCATTTCCTGGGGAATTTGTCACTAACTCTGAGCTTCAGTTTCCTCTTCTGAAAAACAAGGATTCAAATAGCGTCTCCCTCATAGGGTTTCTGTGAAAATCGCCTGAGACACAGTATGTAGCATCCTTACCACCGTGTTACACATGGAATGTTATTGTGAATAGCACTGAGCAAAAGCAGTCCTTATGTTTAATGGTCACATATAAAAGATTATCGAACTACAGAGGACATTGCTACATTTGGGTGTCAGGAAAAAAATCTTTAAATAATTTGCAATATTAATAAAAATAATGTATTTTAATATCAATTTCCTAATTTAATTTCACTTTCAGCTTTAATATTTCCTGCAGATACAAGAATCAGATATGGGAAATCTGTGTTTTTCATTGACTTCTTCTGTGATCTCCTTTACTGTCAGATAATTAACCAGAGGTACCAAGTAAATGCTATATAATTGATATAAAGTCTTTTTTAGACATCTGTGTTCTTAAATTATGATTAGAACATCTTTACGTAAAGTAAAATAAAATTCTGGCCTCTACCAAAAAAACGTATTTCTCTAATTACTGAAAAAAAAAAAGCAGGTGTAATTCCAGGTCATACCATTTTAGAAGTTCTAGTATTTTAAATAAAACCCTCACATAACTCCACATTCCCCTCCAGCTACCCCATTTTGTGCTAACAGCGACTTTTTAAATAGTCTACTCTGATCATTCTTTATTCTTCACTTGTTATGATACTCCATAGTTTCCATTTCTTCATTTGTAAAAACAATACCATGCAACAGTCTTCATGTTCCCAAGCCAATTGGCCACCTGTCCTTTTCTCTCAACACCCCCATGGCACTTGATGTCACTGACTCCTCTCTTCTTGGCTCCTGTGACATCACACTCTTTGGTTCCTTGCGTTCCTCCTGTATCTGCTTCTTTTGGGCATTTCTCTACCCATGACTTTTAAATGTCAACACTTAGTTTGCCTATATGCCTTCTCTGCCTATATGCTTCCCCGAGGTGATCTCAGCTAGCATGACTTAACATACCATTTACCTACTAATGACCCCTAAACTTCTACCTAGACCTCTTCTCTGAGCTGCAGACTGACTCCGTTACCCACCTGACATCTTCAGATTTCTCATAAAACCTCAAATTTAACTTTCCAAAGCAGAACTCTTAATTTCCTCCACTCTCCCAGACCTGTTCCTCCCACTACGTTCATTAAGTCAGATACCAAGAAGTTATTGTCAAGTGTAGTTGCAGCTGCTAGGTTGGCTGTCACAATTCCATAGATTTGGCCAGAAGGGAGACAATGAGCTCAAATAGATTTAGACAGTTTATTACTCACACAAGCAAAAGTAAGATCAGCAGTCAGTGTTCTGCATCCTTGATCCCTAGGGATGTCCCTAGGATGACACTGAACCAGGGTGGCCGGATGACCTAAGTGGAGGGTAGCTCTGTCACTGAGGAGCTAACTCTAAATTCCAACCCAGCAGTTGTATCAGCCTCCATCTGTATCTGAGCAAGCGTGAGGTGGAAATCCCACGCCTCACCAAACCAGGCAGTTGGATGAGAAACTGCCTCATGGCAGCCTTCTCCAAGATGGGGATGCAGCTGATAAATGGCCTCGTGACCGCTCCTCTAAGACTGCCTGTCGAGGCATTTTCCAGGGAGGATCACAGGGCTCTCGGTAAAGACTTGGGTCAGACTATGGTTGAGTGTTGCTATGTGGGTATATACAGTGAGCAAGGTCGCCAGGATACCACACTGGACGCATTGCCTACAGTAGTCTCTGATCCCACTCCTTCTTTTGCCCCCATATCTAACCCATTTGAAAATCTTCTGGGTTCTCTCTCAAGTTAGTCTGCTGTGCATTCCTACAGCCATCATCATCCCATGCCACAGCATGTCCTGCTAGGAGTACCATATGTCCTCTCTTGCCCTCTTACAACCCATTCTCTACACAGCAGCTAAAGGAGTTTTTCAAAAATGCAAATCTGATCACCGTACATTCCAGCTTCCAAAATGTCAGTGGCTTCCTTTTATATATCAAATAAAACTCACTCTTAGCCATGGCCTACAAAGCTTGCATGATCTGGCCCCTATCTACTCCTCCAATGTCATCTCATGGCACTCGCCCTCCCTCCTGCTCAACAATTGGGTCTCAGCTCAAATCTCAGAAGACTCCTTGACCTGTCAAAAGTAGCCACTCATCCCCAGCGACCCTGCATCCGATCCTCTTGTATTTTTCCTAATTGTGATCAGTGGTTTTCTCATTTATATGTTCACGTGTTATTGTCTGTCTCTCTCACCAGAATGTAAGCAAAGAGCAGGGACTTTGTATGTCTTTTTACTACTGTGTCCCTAACACCCTACCAGACACAGTAGGTTCTCAAATATTTGCTGAATAAATAAATGTTATTTCTAGTGTTTTTTATAAACATATAAATCAAGAAAATATCCTTTTCTTAGCAGTTAAAATACAAGCATTTTCAAGTTTAGTTCTATCCTGTGCTTTCCTAAGTCACCCCTTTTTGTCTTCACAGCAGATTTAGTAAAATAATTATTTTATAAGTTAGGAGTCAGAATTATTGCATGTTTATGGAGTAAAACTAGTAATAATCAAATAATTTATTATTTTTAAATGTAAAAATGTGTTTATTCACAATCCTTGAGAAGTTACCATTCCTTCAAAAAATTCTTTATGAACAAAATGCCAAGAAAAATTACAATCATAGCTTATGCCAAACCAAAAATATACATCTGATGTATACAAACTTTAAAAAGCATAACACAGGCAATGTGAATATAGATTACCTTTAAAATATTTCCAATGACACAGCTAC